GTGCTGCCGTTGAGCCCTGATGTGCCGCCGCACGCACCCGCTCTCCAGGGAACCTGCCGCCACATACATCTTTGTCTGTTGCTTCTACCTTGGCTGAGGGGTTGGTGTAGCTGAATGTGCTATCACTGCACAGGTTGCCACTGCTCTTGCCTGCTGATGCTATTTCTCTGTTCGTGGTGTACCCATCCAGGATGTGTTGGTGCACAAACTCCTACTGTAGGCAGTTATGGGGGAGTATTAGAATATATCTGTAACTGCATGTAGCTGTATTTTAGTGTAGTTATTATAAACTGTTGGTGGTGCACCTTCTTTGCATGCTCTCTTTGCTATTTTCACCTCACTGAATAGTGAATTCATCCTCTTTGGCTAAACTCTCTCGACATGTTCCTCTCCCAAGCCTCTTCCTACCCCAAACCCTAGTATTCACTGCTCCTACTATCTTGACATTAGCCTGCCGTTCATAGCATGCAGCTCATAGCTTCACATTCCTAGCTAGTCGTTCCTAGCCAGCCACTCCTACGTCCAGTTGGCTTTCGTTGTAGCAAGGGCCGAGTGATACACTTAAGCACCTGGCCGTTGCACGCCGAGTTGTACTTCCGGAGCTAGTGCCAGGATGGTGACACGTTATTTACTCACACGCTGGGTCACTTGCCTACCCCTTGGCATCCCACCCCACTCCCTTTTGCACCCTCTGATGCCCAGTGAGAGCAGTTTACTGTGTCCTACAAGGAATACTCGGTATGGCTGTCTCGTGAGGCTTCGGCTCGTCTCGCTCTCAGCAGCCTCCTCCCAGAGGCGATAGAAGCCTAATTCAGCCATTTCAAGTTAGTGAATGATTAACTTTAACGATGTTGTATCTCGTTGTTCTATGATTATCCTACCTCCCTTGGCCAATTCTTCCCATACCTTGTTGCACTTGGCTGTACTGCTGACTTAGTCACTCACCTGCGCCCTCTGGGCTCGAGCTACCGTGTTTGCTGAATCAATGTCGAATTCGTTAACCATCCCCGTCTATGTTTGCCACCCAATACTTTAGCATCGCATGCCTCCCTCACTGTCATGCGTCTGTTCACAAGACACTTCTCCATTAGCACCCCCAATGCGCTTACTATCAAACTGATTGGGACCAGTCTTATTGAGATCAAAAGCAACCTCCGCCCTGTACATGCAAAGATTTGGGAAAGGTTTTATGTTGGAGTAGGCATGTGGTGCACATGCACTTCCACTACAAAATAAAAATATGGAGATTAATAGATTCACATTAATGGAGAAACAATCGACGGAAGTTAAAACAGCAATTAGGAAAACAAGAATGATGTAAGAAATGCATATATATAGATTGAGGTTAGTAAATACTGCTTGTCGAACTTGGTGGGGCGTCACCTGCTAGAATCGATTCTGAAGTTCACAACGGACCATGAGAGCGGGAAAGTTACAGTACAGGTGTCAGCTAGTTCCAAGCTTCGAGCTCCAAATCTCTCTCTCTACGTTGATCCACCTCGAGTAACTCGAATGCAGCAGGCGTTCTAGGAGGCGGAACAGTCACTTAGTCGCGCATTCTCCGAGATCCTTCGCTGGGAAGGGTCTCTGCTAGTTGCAAGAGACCATGACGTTCCTTCTTGTCTCCCCGTTTTCTTGTTGATGTAAAATTCTACTAGTTTAGGTCGCTAGGTTAACGATTTTGAATGTGATCGGCTCGTTTGCGAGAAAAATGGCTGTCGAGGTACGCTTCGTTTCCCTTACGTGAAGGATCTGGTAGCAGAACTATCACTGAGCTTTGTTTTCGTTTTAATGCAGGATAAGACTCAACAGGGCAAGGGGTCGACTAGCTGGTTTACTTTGGGGTTGATAGCATCGTGGTACATATGCAATATCGGCGTTCTGCTGCTGAACAAGTTTCTACTCAGCAATTATGGCTACAAGTACCCAATCTTCTTGACAATGTGTCACATGGCCGCATGCTCACTTTTCAGCTACATAGCGATTGCATGGATGAAGCTTGTACCGTTGCAGGTGGGTGAGCTCCTGGGCCAGCAAATGTAGTGAGGGTGTTGATCTTGATGATTTTTTCAGGGCAGCTCATTGTTGTGCTTCTTACTTACGTATGTTAGGGTTCACCATGCTGGACTATCCACTCATCCCCAGGGTCTTGATAATTCCCGTACGTGCTTCATCGCAGGCAATTAGGTCAAGGTCGCAATTCCTCAAGATTGCAGCTCTGAGTGCCATATTCTGCTTCTCGGTGGTCAGTGGGAACATATCGCTGAAATACCTCCCAGTGTCCTTCAATCAAGCGATTGGGGCTACAACTCCGTTTTTCACCGCATTCTTTGCTTACATTATGACTTTTAAACGGGAAGCTTGGGTGACGTATGCTGCCTTGATACCAGTGGTCATGGGAGTTGTCATTGCCAGTGGGGTGAGTGAATCCTCCTATCGAGCTAGCTTCCTTGCACTTAAAAAATTATCACGAGACTTACGTCTCTTCTCCTTCTTGTGCTTCCAGAGTGAGCCGAGCTTTCATCTATATGGGTTCATTATCTGCATCGCAGCTACCGCAGCTAGAGCCTTGAAGACAGTGGTGCAGGGCTTGCTCCTGCAGTCTGACGGGTAAGGGTTCTTTTTGTTTCTTCCCTGCATTTTACTATACACATTTTGATTATGTTTGAACATGACTGCAGGGAAAAGCTGAATTCCATGAACCTTCTACTCTACATGGCTCCGATAGCTGTGGTGCTGCTGGTGCCAGCCACTTTAATCATGGAGGACAATGTGCTTGGCATTACAATCAAGCAAGCTAAGGAGGACTGGGGAATCCTTCCTTTGCTGGCTGTCAACTCGGCTACAGCATACTTTGTGAATCTCACAAATTTCTTGGTCACCAAGTACACGAGCCCTTTGACACTGCAGGTAACTTCACTGTCATGCTGTCTGCTTATGGCGGCATCTTCTGTTCAGATTTACGCAGTTCTTGCCTAACACTTGTTGTCATTCTTGCAGGTTCTTGGCAATGCGAAAGGTGCTGTTGCTGTGGTCGTATCCATCCTCCTCTTCAGGAATCCTGTGACGGTGGTGGGAATGATCGGCTACAGCATCACAGTCATTGGGGTTGTCCTGTACAGTGAAGCAAAGAAGCGCAGTAGCAAGCAAAGCGAAACATGAGTGTTTCGTTGTCTTCCCTAGTTTTTAAACATAGGGAGTTGCTGTAGGAGCTACAAATGTCATTTTCTAGACATTTTTGTAATGAATTCGGTATCCTGAAGCTAAATCATGTAAATCGTAATCTTGGGACGAACATTTCAGTGTTAATACCATAATGAGATATTTCAGCAAGTGAAGAAAAGCTCATCCAGTTTTTGCTGTTCAGCTGCAAGCTGAATCCAGATGCTATTTAACTTGGTCACCCCTTCCCCAATGGCATCAACTTCTGATTCTTCCTTGGCAATCCTTCTTGCTTCATCCTGCAAGCACCAGCAGAGTAGAAGAGAAGGGCAGGAAAGGGTGGGACTTAGCATAGCGATTGCACAAGATTGCACGCAACTTTGCATAGTGGCCCCGGACCTGCAATTGCTTCAGTGCACGCTCAACTACAAGCTTCTGCTGAGCAATTCGTTTCTCCAGAAACTCCTCATGCTGCTGCCGTGCTGTCTTGAGATCCCCCAGACGCATTCTTGCTTCTTCAAGCACAGTTTGGCTTGCTTCAAGATCCACCACGGCCTGCCTCCGTGCTTCTTCCAAGTTGCCATGTGCTTGCCTTGCATCCAAAGCTGCTTCTCCTGCTCTTGCCACTGCAGAATTCGCCTGAAGGAAGAAAAGAAGATTGAGGAGCAAAGCTTATGGGAAAGTGTATGTGATTTGGTGGAGTCTAATGGAAGAAGGTAAATGGAAAAAAACTCTCCAGATGAACAACATAAGCAATCGACGGAGCTCTGCTTCACGCACCTTCAGTTGTCTCTGCTGCGCCACAAGCAGTCGAGCCATTTCCTCCTCCTCCGCATGCACCAACCTCCCCATTACTGCATCCACTGCTGTAACCATCCATTGCTGCTCCCATGTCATCTTACCCTTCTCCTCCAATAAGCATTGCTGCCTGCCTTCCTCCAACTTCCCCATCCCAGCATCGATTGCGGATTTGTCAACGTTATTCAAAACCACTGCACCCTTATTTTCCACGGCACCAGACTCCTCCCTATCAGTTTTCGCTTCCGCATCCTTCTCTCCGGGGATTTCTCGTGGTTTCAGCAAGGCGGATTCTTCCGCCTCATTGCCAGTCCTCACTCCCGGTACAAACCTGACTCTACCTCCTCGCGAATCGTTAGCTTCGAAGTCAGCCTGCTCGCTTCCCTCATCAACTGATTTTTTCGCTCTTTTTAACGGCGGAACCAATTCCCCTCTTTCTATCCGCGACACAAGCCCTGCCACGATACCTTCCGATGCACCAACCTTAGCCTCCAAGGGTGACGGTCCGCACTGGCTTCTGGTTCCGGCTAAGTCTCGATCACTAGCATCATTGGAGGACTCACATGGCGGATTGCATTCCAAAGATTGCGCACTGCGCTTGCGCGAAATCGGCTGGCATGCTTCTGTGTTGTCGGCCATGATTTGAGAGCCTACTGACTCCCGCCCGCTGTGGGAAACTGACAGGCGTGGAAGATCGTCGCTTTCATATTCGTGAAGATTCTTGGTATACCGCAACTCGATAAACCTACAGGATGCCAGCATACACAGAGCACTGGGCATATTCATATTGTTAAGCTTGACTCCTACTTGTACAACATATTTCTTGTTCAATCAGCAAAGAATATTACACTGTGGTACCTTGCAGACCATAGAGGGAGAATGGAAAGGCAATGGAGGGCAGCCAGTTGCAATATACACCTAACCATCCTACGTACCGTATATGGAATTCAGTCTAAAACTTCACAACCTACGCAGCAACCTCCATTGTTCACGTCAATTGACGAGCTTCAAGCTTACGCCGCACCGCACACATTCCCCGCCTAAGCCAGCTTGACTGGACTAGGAACAGGCGGCTTATCCACAACAGCGCCCACACTAGAAACAAAGTCTTCACTGTAGTTGGCCCACCCCTCCCTCTGCTTCTTATCCGCCTCCACCTCCTCAAAGCTCTTGGCGTTTTCCTTGGCATGTACCTCTGCCAGGCTGGCATAGCTCTCTGCTGACTTGGCAATGAACGCCCGCTCTGCTGCTGTCAGTGTGCGGAAGAACTTTGCTGGCGACCCCGCCCAGATCTGGGTGGGAGAGAGGGGTGGAAAGTGGGGCTTTAAGTCCCGTCGAAACACGCGCGAGCGCCTGCTGCGCTGATGTCAGCATGCGAACGAGTAGCTGGGGGTGTGGCCCAGGTCTAGGTTGGGTGGGGTGGAGGGGGTGAGGGTGGGTCAAATGGGGTCAAAGGGGATTGTTGCAAGAGAGGGTGACTACGCAGGGGTGGGACACACAGGATAAAGGGACCTCCTCCATGTGGCCTCACCACCCACGTGGGCTGCAGGGGCATGGATTCACCACTAGAGCAAGGAGAAACCCACCTGGCCTGCAGGAATGCCGGTGTTAGGCACGACAAGGGCGCCAGCAGCCACCATGGCACCTACTCCACCACCACCCACCTAGTCACACCACTCTTAACCCAACTGAGCGTGTATGGCAAGAGGAAACCCACCTGGCCTGCAGGAATGCGCGTGTTCTGGACGACAAGAGCGCCAGCAGCCACCATAGCACCTGACTCCACCACCACCCCGTCCAGCAGCGTTGCTCCGATGCCCACAAATGCCTCGTCCTCCACCGTGCACGCATGCAGCACCGCATTGTGCCCTGGGGGGTGAGATGGGGAAAGCGGGGGCAAAAAGGGTGAAGCGGGGTGGGAAGGCAGCATACGTGATGGATTCAAAGGTGACTCTACAGCTGGCTATTGCCATGTGTGCGGCACTGCACTATGGAATGGGTGGGGGGGGGGGCAGTTGAGTTGAGAGGTGGTGTTGAAGCTGACCCTTGCCACCCAAACACACACACACGTGTGCACATCATCACGGTGAGTGATGCTGAACGGACTGCATGGCAGAGGCACTCAGAGTGCGGAATTAACAGAAACCCCGACAAACACGAGCGCCCAGCGAGCAGCAGCGGGCTTCAGCAGCACGGGGTGACTTTTGAGTCGGCTCACAAGTCACCTCAGCAGCACGGAGGCTCACAAGTCACCTCAGCAGCACGGAGGCTCACAAGTCACCTCAGCAGCACGGAGGCTCACAAGTCACCTCAGCAGCACGGAGGCTCACAAGTCACCTCAGCAGCACGGAGGCTCACAAGTCACCTCAGCAGCACGGAGGCTCACAAGTCACCTCAGCAGCACGGAGGCTCACAAGTCACCTCAGCAGCACGGAGGCTCACAAGTCACCTCAGCAGCACGGAGGCTCACAAGTCACCTCAGCAGCACGGAGGCTCACAAGTCACCTCAGCAGCACGGAGGCTCACAAGTCACCTCAGCAGCACGGAGGCTCACAAGTCACCTCAGCAGCACGGAGGCTCACAAGTCACCTCAGCAGCACGGAGGCTCACAAGTCACCTCAGCAGCACGGAGGCTCACAAGTCACCTCAGCAGCACGGAGGCTCACAAGTCACCTCAGCATCACGGAGGCTCACAAGTCACCTCAGCAGCACGGAGGCTCACAAGTCACCTCAGCAGCACGGAGGCTCACAAGTCACCTCAGCAGCACGGAGGCTCATTGAAGAGTGAAAGCTCACCGACGGTGACGCGCGAGCCGATGATGGTGGGGAGGATCTTGCCGGCGAGGTTGGTCTTTGCCACGTGCACGATGCAGCCCGCAAGCAGCAGGCAGCCTCAGCAGCAGGCCTCAGCAGTAGGCTCAAGGACAACAGCAGGGCTCACGGAGTAGCAAGTCCCAGTGACTTGCATGACTCACCAACAGTGACGCGCGAGCCAATGATGGTGGGGAGGATCTTGCCGGCGAGGTTGGTCTTTGCCACGTGCACGATGCAGCCGTCCTGGATGTTGGTGTCCGCGCCCACGCGGATGCTGTTCACGTCGCCTGCTCAGGAGGAGGGGGAGGGGGGTGGGGAAGGGGAAGAGGAATAGGGGTGGGACGGTGGGGAAAATAGGGGGAAGAGAATGCATGAGGCCGTTTACGCTGCCTGCGAGTGGAAAATGTGAAGGGAATGAGCCAGGTGGCACCAGGGGACACGGGGCAAAAACGGAGAGGGGGGGAGGGTGGGGGGAGAGGATTGAACAACGCATGCGTCAGCCAGTGTAAGGTGGACAATTTGGGAGGAGCGGTGGGGGGGGCAGAGCGGGGCGATTGGGGGTGACGGAGTGGTTAGGGGGCAGAAGGGCATTGATGGAGGCATGGTATGGTGGAGTTATGGTAAAGAAGAGGTATGGTAAAGAAGAGGTATGGTAAAGAAGAGGTATGGTAGAGAAGAGGTATGGTAAAGAAGAGGTATGGTAACGAAGAGGTATGGTAAAGAAGAGGTATGGTAGAGAAGAGGTATGGTAAAGAAGAGGTATGGTAAAGAAGAGGTATGGAAGAGAAGAGGCATGGTCGGGAAGCGGTATAATAAGGAAGAGGTATGGTATAGTAAGGGGAAGGTGTTGAAAGGTGGAGGTACGGCAGAGGTGGAGGGTATGGTAAGCGGGGGATATGGTGAAGACCACATCTGATATGGGGAGGTAGGGGAGGGTATGGAAGGGGCGGGCATGGCAGGGGAATGGTATACCTCTAAGAATGGCGTTGTACCACACAGATGATCGCTGCCCGATCTGCACGTCGCCAATCACAGCCGCGCTCGGCGCCACGAAGGCATTTGCGGGCACCTCGGGCAGCTTGTCGAAAAGATTCATGATGGTGCGATGCCGCGACACTGCGGTGCGCGAGAGCGACGGGACGTGCGGACAAAAGAGAGGCAACGCGCGGAAACAAGGGGGTGGATTTGAAGGGGCGGGCCCGGGAAAAACAGGGAAGCAACCGGGAGGGGAAGAGGGGAAAGGGCGAATGAGAAAGGGTGGGTTGCTTGTGCGGGAGTGGATTCAACATGGCTATGGACAAGACTCAATGGCCATGGCAGGATGGGGCGGATCGGGAAAATCAGCGCGATCGCCGCTTCCCTCGACCAGCCGACGCTGAGGCGCCCCTTCCAGCACTCAATGATTGCAGCATGTGCTGGCTCTAGCGCGCACTAGCGCCCATACGGTGAAATGGTAGCCGTTGGATCGACACAACAATCAACGGTCCTAGTGTGGTAGGCCACGATCGACTGGTGGTCCTAATCCCTGCTCGATCTACACCGTTGATCGTCTCGCAACCCTAACCCGCACGCTCGACCCTTCAAGCCCGCCCCGCAACGCCCTCACGCCGAGATCGCAACCACCGAAGCGCGCTGAAAAGTTAGCTAAAGCACGTTAGACGGATCGGCGGCGCGACTCACGTTCTTCAGTGAAGGCATATTTGCCCTGCAGACGGCACCCCAGTCGATCGAGTGCTTGCCCCGTCTCGCGCACCCAGAAGCCCACATTGTAGAGCGCCCTGCCGATGCCGCTCATGCTGGCGTGCCCGCGATGATCGCAGCGTGATGGGCGGAGCGATGAGGGTCGGAATAGCGGTGATAGGCGAAGGGAGTGGCGGGGGAGACGATGGATGGCGGAGAGGTAAGCTGCTGGTGCGAACTGAGCAGAAACTTGCCAAAAGTGGTTAACAGTTTTTATATATTATATTCTTTCACAAAAGCAAGCGTTCATGCCGGAGTGGTTAACGGGACAGACTTGAAATCTGTTGGGCTACGCCCTCGCAGGTTCGAATCCTGCTGAACGCGTGAATGCCACGTAGTGTTGGATTCAATTGGTCGTTTTCTTTTGGACGCCCCAAAACACAACGTGAAGGAGGCCTCTGCGATCCCTGGGCTTTGAGCTTGGCTGCAACACCCCATGCACTGAAGCTCCTTTGCCAATCAAAATGGGTTGCTCAGCCTGGGCATGTGAATCCTATGGCCTCAACATGTCCTCAAGCTACCTGGAGTACAGGGCTTTAGAACATTCATATGGCTTCATTCTTCTTACGCAGCTGCTCAATCATCTTTACTGGTACCGCGTTACGTACTTGCAAACCATTCCTAAAATTCATATTTCCACGGAATTACAACAAATTTCAATCAGCACTTGTAGCGGTCTATTTAGCTGAAGCTAGGATCTTGTCGTCCACCTCAAACTTGGCATCCTTCTTGTCCCTCCCAGCCGCCACGTAGTCAATGTACCGCTGGTTCAGAACAGTCTGCAGATCCGTGAAGCTCTTAAAGCCAAGCCTCTCCCGCGCATTGCGGGGCTCCGAATAGAAGTGCTGCGAGTGCAGGAGGGCAGAATGCACCAGGAAGGATAAGGTGAAACAAGGGCTAGAAAGAGCATTCATCCAGGTGTCAATATTAAAACCAGCTAACAGCTCACCAGGTGTCCCGCATCGATTGGATTCAGCTCACCATGCAACAAACAAGCTTGTGATGGTGAAGTCCCCTGAGTATTCTCACCATGTTCCTGAAGGGAAACACCTTCTTGGCATCGACCCCAGCCCCATTGGGATCGTAGTGCACGATCTTGAGCGACGAGGCGCGGCCAGCAGCATTGGCGCACATGCAATAAATCACCTATTCTCACTGCGGCTGAAAATCGTATCTCACCATGTTGCGGAAGGGGAATGCCTTCTTGGCGTCTACCCCAGCAGCCTTGGGATCATAATGCACAATCTTGAGTGACGAGGCGTGGCCAGCAGCGTTGGCGCACATGCGAGCGAGCCCATCAAACGTCACCGCTCTGCCGCCCACCGCATTGAAGATCTGACCCTTGGCGTCCTGCAGGGGTTGTGGAGAGGGGGGAAGATGGCGGGTTTGGTTTGGTTGGAGGCATGGGCAGAGGTTAGACGATCATTCAGGGGAACGAAGGAAGGGTAGCGAGCACAGGGGAAGGGGCTGGAAAAGCCTGCAGTGTGTGAGTGCAAACACCTGCAAACAACCTGTGGACCAAGGCGGACCTGGGGTGGCGAGCGGACCTGCGGGTAGTCAATGGCGAGGGCAATCATGCGCGCTATGTCGTCCACATGCGCCACCACCGTCAGCTGAATGCCCGGCGATGGGATCGGCACCGGCCGCCCCCTCACGATGCCTGCTCAAGCACATGCAGGGCAGGGGGCCATGGGGAGGAGGAATGATTCCAGACATTTAAGGTAGGCCTCACACTTGCACGGACATGCACGTGGCAAGGGCATGGAGAATAGCAAGATGAATGTCTCGGTGATGGTTCCCTGTACGCTGCAGATAGTGCACAGGGCATGTGGGGTGCAGGTCACTCTACCAGTGTACAAAACAAGAGAAGCGCTGTTCACAGCAAATCACGGTGCCTGCGGCATCATGGTCCTTGTGGTGTGGACCAACAACTCGCGCAGCCCCTGCTACTCCTACCCCTTGTGATGCGCTACATGTGTCGACCTGATTGGAGCCAGTATCCCTGATTCCTCTCGCGCTCTACCAAGTCGACTCTACTACACGACAAGCGGCACTCACGGTCGAAGAACCACTCCTCGCAGTCCTTGTTGTTGCCCGACCCCGTGATGTACTGTGGGCGCCTTCCTAACTGATTAAGGATTCCCCACATTTCCCACAATGAGAGTTTACCCCATTTATCACCCCAGCAACCAATGCGGCACTCACGGTCGAAGAACCACTCTTCGCAGTCCTTGTTGTTGCCCGACCCCGTGATGTACTGCGGGCGGAACGCCGCCCACCCGTCGCCCCACGCCTTGCCCGCCAGGTACTTCTCCACCTGCGCGTGCCCCGAGCTCTCCTTCACCGCGTCCTGAGGAGTGGGGCCAGGTGGGGTGGGATGCGGCGGAGTGGGGTGAGGTGGGGTACGGCAGATGTGGGGTGGGATGTGCATGATTGCATGGCGTAACATAGTGCTTGAATTGCGCGCTCAATTGCCTGCATGTGTAATGTTTTTCTACTTGATTTATCACGCCACCATCGCGTGACGCAGTGCGCTCACCCCTTCGACGTGCGGGGGCTCGGACGAGGGCGTGTAGATGCCCGCGCTGCTGATGAACAGGAACTGCCGCACGCCCGCCGCGCTCGCCCAGTCCGCCACGGGCCTGCGGGGGGAAGCGGGGTGGGTGGGTGGGGGGGAGCGGGAAGAAGGGGAAAGGGAGAGGAACACACGCGGTGCGGTGATCCCTATCTGGTGACAGATGTGACCTAGTTTTGAGGCGTCCTGAAATACGCTGAGCGGCTCAAATGGGAAAGGGGCATGGGGAAGCGAGAATGGTCACATTGACATGGCGCTTGCAGGGAATGGTGCCTCCAATTTCCGCAGAATCCCCTCATTGACTGCTTAGGAAACGTCCGTTTCCACGCGGTTTCGCTTTGGAAGGTTCTGGAAGGTTCTGAAAGTACTCTGACACCCACAACATCCGTCGTTACTGTTTGACATCCCATTTCTCGAGCAACCTCGATACGGCCAGCCTCGGTAGGCCACGCACGCTTCACAGTATAAAGGTCTGGTCGAGTAAAGCGCTACATTCATCCCCTTTATAGTCACTCACTTGACGGTATCGAGGTCCTTGCCGTTGTTATCCAGCACCACGTCGAAGCCCCCGGTCGCGCCGAACACGGCGGACAGCCGCGCCGGGTCGCCCCACTCCGTGCGCACGCCCTCCGCGCGGAGCTCCTGTGAAGGAAAGCACGGGGAGGAAGCGGGGGAAAGCACGGGGAGGAAGCGGGGGAAAGCACGGGGAGGAAGCGGGGGAAAGCACGGGGAGGAAGCGGGGGAAAGCACGGGGAGGAAGCGGGGGAAAGCACGGGGAGGAAGCGGGGGAAAGGAAGGGGTGGGAGGGAGGACAGGTGGACAGGGTAGAAGAGGAAGGGTAGGGTAACGGGAAAAACGGACAATTGGGAAGGGGGGGAAGTACGGGGAAGAGGAGGGGTAAAGGGGAAAGTGAGAGACATGTAGCGGGGGTAAGCGAGTCACACGCGTGGAAAATGGTGCGCATCTCCTTAGCGGAATGGCGGAAAGCTTGCGAGCTATGCCTACTCGGGAGAATTACGAGAGTGTATCCCAGCAGACAACTTACCGAGAAGCGCGAGAAGGGCAGCTTCTTCATCTTATCGGAGTTGCGATCGCCAACGGTCATGATCGTCACCGAGTGGCCGGCCGTCGCTAACTGACGGGCCAGCGCGAAGCCAATCACCGCGTGGCCTCCGCCGTTAGTGTTAACGATCAGCACTTTGCGCCGCGCCACGCTAGCGTCCACCCGAACAGCCCCGCGAGATATGGCGCGAATTGCGCCGTGATGTTCGCGTGAGTGCGCTACAGGAGTGGAGAAGAGTTCTTTGCTGGAGCACGCAGCGGCAGCGGCGGCTGCGGAAGCGGAGAGGGATCCGGCAAGGCGAGCGCTTCTGCTGCTCACGGGAGCCGCGGAGACCGCCGCAGATGCCGCTGGTCGAGAAGCGGCATTGGTGCGAGCAGCGAAGGCAACAGTCGCCTTAGGGCAAGCTAGCGTAGCCATGGCTGCTTGACGGTGGAGGCAAACACTCCAAACGGATTAGGAGTGACTGTCCTAGGCAAGCGATCAGTGGGCGAAGAAATGTCGGTCGGTAGCGGTGCTGGACCCTCCGACTTCTACGAGGAAATGCGGAATAATGCGACCAGGTGAAGGATACAAACTTGTGAAGTGGTGAAGGGTCAGGTGAGACACGAGCGGACCAGACCAGGTCACTCACGATAGAGGGAGCAGTGAGTGATGCGAGAAATAAGAGACTCATAATGAACGGCCGAGTCGCGAAGATGCGGATTTCCAATGGAGTGCCACGCAAGCGCGTGAACAGTAGTGTTGAAAGATGACATTCGGATCGGGTGAGTGTATCTGGTGCACGAAATGGACGAGCATCTGCGTGACGTGGCGGTACGAAGACCTATGCTGACGACATATTTGCCAGGTGTGACGAAAAACTTGCTCAACGGTGTTTGATTGTGGTCATTTGAGTGTACCAGCGGATTACACTCGTTAATTTCAGATGAACATATTCTACAAGTAGCCCACAAGTAGCCTTCACTGAAATCTCAAGCCTTACTATCTAGGAGGCATCAAGGAGAAGCAAGCGTCAACCAAAATGCTGCATCCTCTTGCCGCTCTTTGCCTGGCACAGTGGCCTTAGCTCGTAAAGCCACTCATCCCCCCTATTGCAAGCATGTGCTTAGCGCTCTGATGTATGTTTAGACCCTCCAAACATCTTAGATCTTATCAAGAGCTTGCATGACATCAGCGATGATGTCACAGCTGTCCTCAATCCCTGCACTGAACCTAACCAGGTTGTCCTTGATGCCCAGCCTTGCCCTCTCCTCTGGCCCATAGTCCCTGCACGAGTGTACCGTACCAGCCAGCCAGAGCCCAGGGAGGAGAGGGGATACGGTAGCGTGAAGAGCGTTATGATTTTTTGTAATGGTAAGGGTGTGGTGAGGTGTCTGAACATGGGGGCCCCATTCGGCAGATGAAAGACACCAGAGGAGCAAGGGGGGAAGAAAGGAATGGAGACATACCAGTAGGAGATGATGGTGGGCTGCTCCACCAGCGATTCCACGCCACCCAGCGAGGGGGCGATGTAGGGAATGTCGAGTGCATCAATGAAGCGTGACGTGCGCTCCAGGTTCCCATCCACCTGCCACCACACATCATGCCACCGTGGTCAGGAGAGCGGAATGAGGGCAACACGAGAGACAGGTAAAGCAGGCACAATCCCATGCAGCACCACCTTCTCAAACCTCCACAGTCCCTTCTGCTTCTCTACGAACTAGCCAACTAAGCATTAGCTGCCATGCTTTTGCTGAAATCCTCATAACACATCTCATGCAGCTCTCCCTTCACCTCAACCCCCACAAATCCCCCCAAATCGCCCATCACCCCCACACACACTGTGCCTCGAAACTGACAACGCCCCCATAGCCGCCCTGCATCTGCTGCACTCCCACTAATACTTGCAGCTCACCCACCCCTCCCTTCCCCTTCACCCTTCCCTGACACCCTTCCTCTTCCCCTTCACCAACTCCTCGCTCACCTCGAAGCTGACAACACCCCCATAGCCGCCATGCATCTGCTCCAGCGCGATTTGGTGCTCGGGGTGGGAGGGCAGGCCTGGGTAATGCACTCGCAACACCTGGGGGCGGGGAAGAGGGGGTTTAAACGGGGGAGCGGCAGGAAGAAGGGAGAGCGGGGATGAAATGCCCCCCGGGGGGGGGGGGGGAAGGGCGGGCACAGGTAGTGTAAAAGCAGTATGAACTGGGTGGTGTGAATGGGGAGAGGGGGGTGGGAGGAAGGGCAGGAGGCATGGCACAGGAGAGAGGAGACGATAAAGGCTGGCCGAGGAGGGAGCAGCGCAACTTTAGGATGTGTGGAGAGTGTGAGGGCGAGCTCCATGGAGCAGGGAGATACACGTCACACGGGGATGCGGCAACGGGAACGGGAGAAGCGCGGGTTGGAATGGATTTGCGGCGCCCTAACAAGCGGGGAGAGAGCGTGCTGCACCTTGGGGTGCGTGGAGAGGGCGAGGGCGAGCTCCATGGCAGGGAGAGAAATGGTACACAGAGGGCACTGATAAGGCTGGCCGGAAGGGAGCAGTGCAGCGCACCTTGGGGTGGTTGGAGAGCGCAAGGGCGAGCTCCATGGCGGTCTCGTTCTGCCGCCGCACCCTGAGGGCCAGCGTCTTGAGCCCGCGCAGTATCAGGTAGGACGCGTGCTGTGCGGGGGGCACATGGACAGGTGGGCGGGGACGTAGGAGGGGTGATGTTGGGTTGTGGGCATGGACGACACAGGGCCTTGAGGAACTCCCAAGACATGATGCTTGCTCGGGGTGCGCGGGAGGGGGGATGGGCAGGGGCAATGGGTAGAGAGTGATGTGCAGGGACAATGGGTAGAGAGTGATGTGCAGGGGCAATGGGTAGAGAGTGATGTGCAGGGGCACGCACTAAGGTAGAGCAGGCAGGGTAGAGTGCAGTGCGAAGTGCATGCACAGTGACTCACCGGGTCAACGACTCCCCCCAGCACATTGTGCAGCGCTCGGACCTTCTGCACCAGCTCCGCCTTGCCACTTATGGTCCCCGCCAACACCTGTGTGGCATGGCATGGCATGGCACAGGATGGCATTGGCATGGCACGGCATGGGGAGGTGGGTCATGGGATGGAATGAATGTCAATGTGGAACTGAGCCTATGATTCGCTGGCAATGGCGGTGAAAAGTTTCACTCATGCAAGACACACGAGGGGTGCGTGAAGGATTCCGATGAGAGATGAAGAGAAGAAAGGGAAGGGAACCGGGGAAGGGAAGGCACAGCAGAGAAGCGTGGCGAGCTCACGTCATTGTGCCCGGCGAGTTACTTGGTGCCTGGGTGCAGTACGGCACCAAGTCCGCCCCAAACGTGCCTCACGAATTTTCCCTCAGATCTTCCCCTCCCCCCCCCTCCACCCCCGGACCACAAAGCCACCATCAAACGTGACTCACGTCGTTGTGACCGGCGAGGTACTTGGTGCCGGAGTGCAGCACGAGGTCCGCGCCGAGCGGCAGCACGTGCTGGTTGATGGGCGTGGCGAACGTGCCGTCTATGCACACCAGCGCACCCTTGGCGTGGCACAGCCCGCTCACCAGCGGCACGTCGATGCACCGCAGGTACGGGTTCGTGGGGGACTCCGAGAAGAACAGCGACACCTGGCGCACCGGGGGAGGGGGAAGGGGTGGGGAGAGGGAGAGGGGCGGGGAGGAGAGAAGGGCGGGAAAGGGGAGAGGGGTGAAGAGGGACGGGAATGGGGAGAGGAGAAGGGACAGGGAGAGGGGAAGTGGGGCGGGGGAGTGCAGAGGGATGAGAGACAGGAGCGCAGGCGGACGACAACAGGAGGAGGCCGGGTTGACGGATAGGAGGGATGTGCGTAAATCGTTAAGCGTTACCTGTATCTCAACGGTTCAATTGTGTGTGGAATTCCCTCTTGTGTGGGTTCAGAGCGAAATCCATATCAGCTCGTTTGAACGACATCTGGCTTCTCAGATGCAAAATGTGTGCACGACCGTTGAGAAAAATCAAACCAATGGTAAAACTCCAGCCACACTATGTCTGCGTGATTTTGGTAGGGCTTGCAGTCACCCTGATCACCGTACCTCTAGATTTTTGTGGGTGTATTGAAGGATGATGGGGTGAAGGGTCATGCAAACACTGATACGCACCTCATTCTCGTCAAGAGCCTTTTCCAGTGCGCCCATATCAGCCGGGTCGATCACAGTCGTCTGACATGCGGTGAAAGGGTGGGTAGAGGAAGGGGGGAGTGAAAAGGTGGGTATGAAGGGCAAGAAAGGCGAGGGAGCGAGATGGTGAGACGGGGTGAGAGGGGAGAAATCACGAAAGCAAGGATTTTGATGGACATAGAAGTGGGGAACCGAGAGGTCAAGTGACGCCGAATAGAAGAGATTACAGGTAGAAGTAGTGAGTGCACGGCATCGCAATCAGTCCGCGAAACACTCCTCCCCTCTTCTCTTCCCTTCTTGCCCTTCTCTTTCCCACCGAACTCTCCCGCACCCCCGCTCCCCTCAAGCGGCACTCACGGTGATGCCCATTTTGGGCAGCATGGTCTGAATGAATTGGCGCGTGCGGCGGTAGCAGTCGGTGGTGGTCACGATGTGCCCGCCCGCCGGCACCAGCGCCAGCAGCATCGTCGTCGCCGCGCACATTCCCGACGACGACAGAAGCGTCGCCTCCGCCTGCTCCAGCTCGCTGGGGGGTGAGCGGAGAGCAGAAGGCGCAGACAGACGTTGGAAAAAGGGGAGAGACGAAATGCAGGGATGGGTTGAGAAACGAGTGCACCGTTGGAATGGCGTGCGCGCGTAGCTTGGAAACAAACAGAGGGTAGATTACAGACAAGAGCGGGATTTCCGTTCCGGGATTTCGTCATCCTGTTCTCGTCGTGCTGACCCAAAAATCGGCACGTGTTGATGAGGCACAGGGGCGGGGAGCGAGAAACAGCGCGAGGAAGGTTGTGCTTACCTGATCTTGCGCTCCACGGTGTCGGTCGTTGGGTTGCCGTACCGCCCATACTCGAAGCTCGTCTTCCTCCCCTCCTGCGCCGACAGAGTTGCGACAGAAAAAGAGCTGATGTGAATCACAAGCCATGACGACTAAAACGTGCTCTTTCTACACTTCTAGATTAAAATGCACACGAGGACCTAAGTACTTGAAAATCGGCATAACCACCAAAGACAAAACACAACTAGAAAATGTGACGGATCTGACAGGTGTAACGAACGCGGGAAATGCAGAAGTGGCGAGAGAACGTACGACGAATTCGATGAGGTCGGCAGTGTCCTTAAAGAAGTAGGTGGACGTCTGCACGATGGGCGTCGTCAGCGAGTCCACCACCAGTGGACGTCCAGGTCGCTCCCCTGCAAGCGCGGAATAGCAAAAAGAAGTAAATGCATTTCAACTCACGCTCCGATTTGAACAGCGGTTTGCAATGCCGCTGTTCAGCTAATTCTTTCGCCCTCCAAGCTCCATCTTCAAACGCGTGGTCGTGTAATAAGAGATTTAAGTTGTGGACAACGCTTATCCAGGAAAACTGACGAATCCAAAGAGCTGATCCAAAACGGTTTACAGTTTTCGTACTGCAATATCACAAGAAGCGTTTAGTGATCACGAGTAGCGAGCGCACCTGCATGGACGGACTTAGTGGACAGCGACGACCTCGCCTCAACCGCCTCCGAGCTCTCCATAGCTGCAGAGGAGCCGGATTTTGCCGTCTGCGCGATCGGTGGAGGGTTAGCGTGCGTCGCGCAGCCGTTGACTGACGTCGACCGGGCACCGACAGCTTGGTCTTTCGCCATCGGCAATGGAGATCGAATTGGCGACGCAGAGGATGGGATCTGCGCAGCGCCTAAGCGGAACGTTCGTCTTCGTACGGGTTTAACGACGAAGCTGTTGCTGTCTAGATGTTGGCTCGAATAATGAGCGACACTTCCTAAGGTGCTAGATTCAGCAACGGTTAAGATTGTCCGAGACGGAATGCTGATTGCGGAGGCCATTGACTAAAGCACTACCTATATTGGTTTGTATAACTATACACGGCAAGGCTAGAAGAAGCGAATGCAAGCAAGTCCAATCAAAGCGTGTTGGTCAATCGGAGCCCCAAGAGAATGGGCGATGGTTTATCTCGACCATGCCGTCGCCACCATACTGTCCTGATCACCAAACGCTGCTAGCGAGAAAGGCGGTGGGGGGGACGAGAGGTCACAACTTCAGGAACTGCAAGGGTTCTAGTTTACAGATCAAGCATGGAAGAGCAAAACGAGGGAATCTAGGGTGTTGTGGGGTGGAGTAAAGAGATAAAAGGAAAGATGCTGTTTTGCAAGACCCTCAATGAAGCCCAGGAACCAGGGTGAGGTGAGGGCGGGAGGGAAAGGATGACGACGACGGATGGAGCTCCCAGGAAACTGGGCTGTGCTGTTGTGGATTTCTGATCGGATGGTTGAGGTTGCACACGACAGGGATATGAGATGGCGATCTTACAGCAGAAAAAGATCGAGCGGTTGTCTGCACCTTGACCTGTATCAAGATTGTTTGCTGCTGACAGATGCGAATTATACACGTGGACTGATGCAGCCCGTTTTCGTCTTGTGGTTGGTTGTCAGTGAGACAGGTTGGCGCAGTCAGATGCATAATTTAGTGGGGTGGCGCTGTAATAACAAGTTTTGCAGCGCAAGTGTGAGCAAATCTTTTACGGAAATGTTACCGTAACTTGTATCGGAGGTTTTGTATTGGGCAAAGAAACTGTACCTCTTGTTTTCTCACGCCGTAAATGCTTGCGAGTGTCTTCGATTGGTGCACTCGCAAGCCATTGTACTGTAGTGCGTTCTTGCTGAGATGTTGGCGACTCCAAAAGCCATGTGATGAAAAACAACCAATCCAGAAGCTCTTTTCGCTATGCGCATCCCGTAGTTGGCACTAACTTTTAGCCAATCAAATGAGCAACCTCTGTGAAAGCAGCTGCTGCACCTCAGAAAGGAACCCAAACCTCACGTGGCACACACGAGCGTCCACTTTTCACAAATACCCCCACTTCCTCGCCCCACCACCCCATTCCCCCAACCTCCAGCCCCAAACCCCTCACCTCCCCACCCGCCTCGTCGGCAACTCTGCAAGAAAGAAGTTTCTGTGGCAACACACAGCGTTGCTGTGCGGTTCGTAAAATTGTTCAGCGGTTTCCGTAACGCCGCCGCGAGCGGCACTTCGAGAACCCGCTTTCGCGGGTAAAATAGTTTGTCTGTCCTCTTCCCGCCCACGCCAAAACCCGAGGCTGGCGGAAGCATGAAGGTGGGTTGATAGATAGGTGTAGCGTGCTTCGTTGAGCTGTTCAGTGCCCATTGCTGCTCTTCAGCATTGTGTGTAATAGCTCTTGTCGTGCCATGACATGACTTTTGTCGTTGTTAACTAGCAACAAAAAACTGTTGAACGAATCAAGCAAACCATGCGTAATCGCCGCCAACAATTTCTTTGTGCTGTAGGGCCTTTCGTCGTTCGCGAAGTAAAGCGCTAGTTGCTCCACGCCCCATAAAATGACACTTCGTTAGAGTTAATTACTTCATAGCGTTAACTATGACAAGATCAGCCTCTCGTAGTCGAAGATCCGCAGCCAATTGTTATTAATGAAGCAATTACAAGTTATTCCCGTTTTACCGTATCCACAATCAGCAGCATCTTCTCTCCGCAATTACCTCTCCTCGCATTAAGAAACGAAAGCCCGATTCGAGTTTTTCTTGAGTCGTCAACTGACCCCTTTCAATCAAGCAAACTAATTATCGCACAACTACTCCTTTCGGGGAGAAAGTATTGTCGGAGTATTTAGCGAAAGCCAGCTTCGCGTGTGCTCGCATAGCACCCCCTTGCGTCTACCGCACGGTTCTCGGCGCACTTAGAAATTAACAATGGCCGACAGCAAGGTGGCGCGCGTCGGCCTTCTGGACTTCAACACGTTCGCGCAGGCGGAGGGAATTGACCCCAAGGCGGAGGGGGTCGTCACGCAGAAGGCGCTTCCCCCGCAGGCGCGCCCGCAACCCGATCAGCCCCTCCCCGCGCGCCCGCAGAGCAACGGCGCGCAGCGGGACGCGGAGAGGCGGCAGCAGCACCAGCCGCTGCTTGTGGAGACCCCCCCGTGCCGGTCGCCGTCAGACTCGTTAGGAGCGAACTCGTTCGAAGCGAAGGCGCCAGAAGCGAACTCGATAGAAGTAAACTCGTTAAAATTACAAGATAGAGCGGTCGGAACGGAGAATAAGGCGGGGTGTTTTGAGATCGAGAGTGGCGATGAAGGGACGGACGGGGGGGGAGGGGCGAAGGGCGAGGGGAAACTGGCGTGGGAGATGGATATGTCAAAGGTATGCGCGATGTTCTGAGTCTTATGAGGTACGGTTGGGGGTAATGGGGTATGTTTGGAGAAAAATGGGGGTGTGGTTGGAAGGTAGGCGGGGTACGGTTGGTGGGGAGGTTAATGGGCCCAGGGAGGAGTTGGGCTATTGCTCTTTCCCCCTGCATATCGCCTTGCTCTGCCATCCGAGTTCGGCTATTGCTCTTTCCCCCTGCATATCGCCTTGCTCTGCCATCCGAGTTCGGCTATTGCTCTTTCCCCCTGCATATCGCCTTGCTCTGCCATCCCCTTGCTCTGCCATCCCCTTGCTCTGCCATCCCCTTGCACGTGTCACTGACCCTTCCAAAATGCCGTTCCTTCCCATGACCCTTTTTGTTCTTCCCTTCGATTCCCCTTCCTCTTCCCACTCCCCTTCCCCTTCTCCTTCCCTTTCCCCTTCCCCAACGATGGCATTGATGCGCGTGCCGCCACGCCACGTGTACTCCGCAGGTGCTCTGCACCAATCAGCTGGCAGCAGGTACCACCCCCGCTGCCCCGTCCATTATCTCCTTCCTGCACCAATCAGCTTGCAGCTGGAGCCCAATACAAGCTTACCTTTTTGTTTCCTTTATTTCTTTCTTCATTTCTTTTCTTTGGAAAAGTTTTTACTACTTAAAGGGCTCTTACCTGATGTTCAACCTAATCCCTGTGCTTGTTTTATGCAGAGGGGACAAAACAGAAGAACCAAAACAGACACCTGTACCACGGGCTGTTCGGGCAAACCCCCCTAAACCTTTTCTTGCACCTCGCTTTTCCCCCTTTGACCCCCACCTCCCCCTTCTTCCCCCCCTACTCCCCCACTCCCCCACTCTCCACTCCAGGCGCGTTTGGGCGCGTGTACCACGGGCTGTACGGGCAGGATGACGTGGCAGTGAAACTGATCAGCGTGTCGCCCAACATCCCCCCCAAGGAGCTGGCGAGCATAGAGGCGGGCATTCTGCAGGAGATCAACGTGTGGCACACGCTCAAGCACCCCAACATCGTGCAGGTGCGCTCGTGCGTGTGAGAGTGGTTGAGAGTGAGTGAAAGTGAGTGTGTGAGATTGTGGGGCGAGGTAATGTGCGAGCTTGTGAGGGTGTGTAATTGCGTTGGTTGTGCAACGGTGGTCCCTTGGATTGCCACGCAGTCAACATCCCGGCTTCCGCCCCTCCCCCATCTCCCCCGCTTGCTTACCCCATCTTTTCCTGTCCCCTGTCCCCTCCCCTATCCCCTGACCCCTGTCCCACTGCAACGAAAGTCAGTTCACAGGAGCCTCGTTGGATGCCAGCAGCATCGTGGTAAACCCATCATCGCCCATCCTTCCCTTCCCTCCCCTTATCTCTCCCCACCCCAGTTCATAGGGGCATCACTAGACGCCAGCAATATTGTGGCGCCAGCAGAGGCGAAGCCGCCGCCCGGCACGCCGCTGTGGGCGATCGTCACGGAGTACATGTCGGGCGGCACGCTTCGGAACTATTTGGCGCGCCGGCGACGCCTGGCAGAGAAGGACGTTCTGCGGATTGCCTTGGATGTGGCTCGTGGGCTGGAGTGAGTGGGCGGAAGGGGGGGGAGGGAGGGGAATGGAGGGGACGTGGGTTGCTGATTCTGTTGTGCATGGGGGGCAGAAGGGCGCCGGGAGGTGAAGGACGGGCTGCAGATTGCATTGGATGTGGCGCGAGGGCTGGAGCGAGTGGGGCTGAGAGTGGGGGGGAGAGGAAGATGAGGAAGGGAACAGGGGGAAGAGAAAGGGGAGGGGGGGGGGGGGGCATGGCGAGGGGCATGGAGGAGAAGGGCGTTCTGCGCTTCGCCCTGGACGTGGCTTGGGGGCTGGAGTGAGTGGTGAGGAGGGGGAAGGGGGTAGGGGGAAGGGAAGGAGCACAGGGGAGGGGACTGGTTGGGTTGTTGTGTGTGGTGGGGCAAAAAGCGTGGGTTAGTTGAGGGAGGCGGTGGTGCGGTTTGCACTGAACGGGTAAAACGAGAAAAATGAGTCAGGACAGATCACGAGTAAAATCAGTCTGAAAGGAGAGGAGAATCAAGAGCTGGGAATGGCGAGCAGGTGAGGGCGATGCGATGCGAGAGACGAGAGACGAGCGCAAACAGTTGCATGCAGGCTTTTCTCGTCTCTCTTCTCTCGCATCGCATTGCCCTCACCTGCTCACCATTACCAGCTCTTGTTTTTCCTCTCCTTTCAGAATCGTTTTACTCATGATCTGTCCTGAGGCGGTGGTGGTGCTAGGAGAGCGAGCAGGGGGCGAGCGGGAGGTGAGGAGAGCGAGCAGGGCAGCACACCACGGAGATGAGTTTGGCCACCATGCTGCTGTGCTGCTGCAGGGACTGTATTTACACTGCCCTTCTTGGTGGTATGGTTATCGATTGTTATTATTTTTCCCCTTTGCTCCCGCTCCATTTCCCCCACGTAGGTACCTGCACGCGCACCACATAGTGCACCGGGACTTGAAGTCAGACAACATTCTGGTGAGCTACAAGGGCAGCGTCAAGATCGCTGACTTTGGCGTCGCACGCACGGAAGCTAAGAACCCCGGCGACATGACGTGTGAAACGGGCACCGTGCGCTGGATGGCGCCTGAGGTGAGCCTAGAAGGGGGTTGTGCGTGGGGTATGAGTGAGAGTGTATGTGTGTCGCTCTCTTTGTGTGTTAAGGGTGGCTCGCACCAAGGCCAAGAACCCCGGCGACATGACGTGTGAAACGGGCACCGTGCGCTGGATGGCGCCCGAGGTGAGATGGTGATGGTGACTGAAGAGAACGGGATAGCATCCCCCGGGCTGGGATGAGCTGTGGACGTGTAAGCAACAGACAACCATAGAAATCCTCCTCCTTCCTAACCAGATGAGGTGACTCTCGCACATGCTGTGCACATGCTGTGCACATGCCGGATGGTCGTCCACTCCACACATGCAGCAGGTATCGTGCTGCAAGGGACTCACAGTTTACACCTGACTCCCTATCCCCCTCTTCTTCCTCGCTTCCCCCTCACACGCAGGTGATAGACCACAAGCCGTACACACGCAAGGTGGACGTGTGCAGCTACGGCATCGTGCTGTGGGAGACTCACTAGAACCCCATTTAGAGGCCATGGTTCAATACGTGGCAGCAAGTGATTAGAGTATGACACCAGAGTAGGTGAAATGTTGGTGTTTGCAGCTACGGCATCGTGCTGTGGGAGACTCACTCACATCACAATCCGACCCTCTTTCTCCCCTCCTCCGCCCACAACTTTTCAGGTGATAGACCACAAGCCATACACCAGGAAAGTGGACGTGTACAGCTACGGCATCGTGCTGTGGGAACTGGTGACGTGCGAGCTGCCGTTCAAGGGACTCACCTTCATCCAACTCGCTTACAACGTTGTTCACAAGGTGCGCTCGATGTAGTCTAGCATGAGTAAAGCAAACGAACCACACGGTGTGGAGAGCCAACGGGCTCATACCTTCAAAAGCTCACCCACACCAACTCGCCTACGACGTCGTGCATAAGGTGCGCGGGGCCCGGGATTTATTACGGCGGAGGGTGTAAAAACGAATACGGATTCGAATACAGTTATCTTAAACGAATAATTGTCGAATACCTGGCTGAATACCTGTCCCTCCACGAATTCGAATACGGTTTGAATACATGGTGTGTCGAATACGGTTGCGAATAAAAACAGGTTGCGCAAACAAATATTTGCTGAAATGCATACTGAAGTATCATTGACCCGCTTTTACTCTTACTCATTGGCCGTGGGGGATGTATTCGAACGACATGGGGGTGAACGACATGGGGGTGAACGACATGGGGGTGAACGACATGGGGGTGAACGACATGGGGGTGAACGACATGGGGGTGAACGACATGGGGGTGAACCACATGGGGGTGAACCACGTGGGGGTGAACCACGTGGGGGTGAACCACGTGGGGGTGAACCACATGGGGGTGAACGACATGGGGGTGAACGACATGGGGGTGAACGACATGGGGGTGAACGACATGGGGGTGAACGACATGGGGGTGAACGACGTGGGGGTGAGCCACATGGGGATGAACCACATGGGGGTGAACCACATGGGGGTGAACCACATGGGGGTGAACCACATGGGGGTGAACCACATGGGGTGAATCACATGGGGGTGAACCACAAACCACATGGTGTGGAGAACCCAAGAACTCTATTGCTCGTGCTGTCAAGACGCCTCACCTTCATCCCGCTCCCATACAACGTTTATGCACAAGGTGGCCTACAGGTGCACAAGCTTGCAGCAAGCAACAGTCTTGAACACCTCAAAACCACACCTTCCGCATCATCCCCGTTCCCCACACCCCCCTCTTCACAGAACCAACGGCCGGACATTCCCCCCCGTGCAACCCCGAGCTGGCAAGGCTGATGGCAGAGTGCTGGGATTGTGATGAGCCAGTGCGACTAGGGCTTGCAGTCAGAGTCTTAACACACCCCACACCCCCCGCATCCCATTCCTGCCACAGAACCAACGGCCGGACATTCCCCCTTCATGCAACCCGGAGCTGGCAAGGCTGATGGCGGAGTGCTGGGACCGTGATGAGACAGTGCGCCCTGAGTTTGCAGAGGTGGTGGCTCGCCTGGAGAAGATCCAAGCAGAGTTAGGGTCGGCGGGTGATGGTCAAGGCAGTGGTGACACTGGGACAAGTTGCTGCACGATACTGTAACACATATTATAGAATAGTGTTTTATATATGCCATTAGGAGTTTTTATTCGCTGGATGCGCAAGCATCCAGGACTTTAGGTGTTTGTTATCCGTGCTTACAGCATCTTGGTTGCTCACCTTGAGCTGTTTTTTCAGCAAATATTCAATCTAAACTGCTGTCAAGAGGAAGCTGCGACCATACCATAGACATCCCTGTCTGTGTACGTAACATAACACGAATATAAACGAGAGACCACACGGACATCACATGGTAAGGCTAGTCATTCATGCAGTCTCATGATGACAACCTCATCTCACACTTGCTTCCAGTGTCCAAGCAAGCAGCTCTGCATACCCCACACCACACCAGACTCGCACGTACTGTGTGATGCGTTGTGACTCACCCAACATGCCCATCCCATCTCCATCCGCATCCCCATCCCCATACACACCCACCCATCTCCTTCTGCTAACCCATCTCCTAAATCTGCGACTCTCAACCCTTCACTGCGCCCTTTCCCTCCACCGGGGCCCCCTCCTCCCCCCACGGCCCTTCCTGGAACATTACTGCCTTGCGCCAAACCCTATACCGTCCCACTCGTTCTGAAAACTGGCTCGGCCCAAACCCAGAGTGCATCCTACCCACGCCCGGACCATCATCCATGACCGTGCCGAGCCGGGCATGGCAGGCTCGGCAGCGCATGACGGTGCGGTCGCGGTGAATCCCGAACGAGTTGGTGCTTTCAAAGAACGGCCCCCAGCGGCTCTCCATGGTTGTGACTATAGCGAGTTGCTTCGCATCGACGCTGCTTCGCTCGAAGGAGATGGAGCCGCGATTCCCGGCGTCGAAGCGGACGGCGGGCGGAAATATGGCGGACGTTGACAGGCCGAGGTCCGCCCCGCAGGCGAGGCAGCTGGAGCGCGAGAGGGGACGGGGAAGAGGGGAGGTAACGGGTTGGGCGAAGAAGGGATGGAAAGGGAAGGGAAGTGCAAGAGGAAGGGAAGGCAAGGAAGTCGAGACATAGTGCATGAGTGGGCGGTATGCACGTACAGATAGTGACCAAACGGCAACGCTTCATCCTTCATCATGATTGTGAACTCGACAAGTTCTTGCACGGTGAGGAGAATCAATAAACAACAGTAGAATTAAATACATTTCTAAAGGTTTTATGGATCTGTGGCGCAATGGTAGCGCGTCTGACTCCAGATCAGAAGGTTGCGTGTTCGATTCACGTCAAGTTCAACGCCCCTTTTATCGCTATTTCGTGGAAATGGAGCTTCCAAATTCTTTGGCAATGACGCAGTTGGGTCTACTCACACTAGGGCTGACGTTTGGGTTGGGACTGCACGTTGGGAATAGTGCAGCAGCTAGTAAAAGTGGAAAATAACAATCTAACAGCCCCATCCATTCTTTGAATGGGTGCAGTATCTACACCAATGGCAAGTGACATTGCTTGTGCAAGAGACACGTTCCTAAGCTGCTCAACACAGGGCTCCTATGCAAGAGACGTGTTCTTAGGCTTCTCAAGGGCTTTTGGTGGCCAATAAGAAATATTGTTTAGAGGGATATGGAAGTCCATCTTGTAGACCTGCATAAGCAGCTTAGAAGCCTCCTGCAAATTCCACAAACGACACACACACACACACACACTCACAACCATTTAGGAAGCTTACAAGCCGTTTGTAAATTGGTGGGTCATTGCAACAGCGCATGACACATGAAAGTGCAGGGAGACGACATACGAAAAGGGGCGCAAAGCACTGACCTCGTTATAGTACTTGACGACACTCCTGTTGGTCACAACATGCGCGCTGGGGTCGATTTCAAACACGTCCAGGTGCTTCCCGCCAAACTCGCCCGCCATTGTCTCCGCGTCCCGCTTGAAGTGCTCAAAGCGCCCCACATAGTCGTACTTGATGCCGTTCAGATTGCAGATGTCCACCTGGCGTGGTGCAGCGGGGGCGATAAGGAAAGGATAGTATCCATTGGGCAAGGGTGAATGAGATGAAAAGCATCGGGCAGAATGCCACACCATGACACTGCATGGCACTTGATTTCACTGCCGAGAAGAAAAGCTGGATGGCAAAAATGCCATATCCGAGGGGCGAGGTGTGTGTGGATTCAAATATACCCCTGCATGTGCACCGTTTCACCCCCCCCCCCCCCCCCCCTCATGTGCCCTCTGTGCCCACGTGAGGAGCCAGATGGCTGGCGGTTCATGGTCACGCTGTGCCCCTGCCCCTGCTCCAGTGCCAACACAGAAACAGACTGAATGCAGTGCACTAACCGACACAACAACTCATCCGCACAGGGCAATAACGCGGCCTACCTGGGGCGAGAGGTGGCGGTTCATGGTGGCCCTGTGGTCCTGCATGAGTGCGCCCACCAGCCTCAGGAACGCACGGTAGGTCACCAGACCCTCTGGCGCGCGCACCTCCTCGTACTGCTGCCACACGTGGCGGAAAAAACGCCTGGTGGGGTGTGGGGGGGTGAGGGGGGATGAGGAAAGTCAATATCGATTCGAACGCCCTCACTGCCTCGTACTGCTACCACACTGGAGAAAAAATGCGTGGTGAGGGATGGGGTGGAGTGGGAAGGGAGAGGGTGGTGGATAGTAGCTCGTTCGTCACGAAGCAAGCAGGGAGAGCGCGTGCGAGGGTCCTCACAAAGAGGAAATGGAAGAGCACGCACCTTGGCCCAGAGCTGCCTGGGCGACTGTGTGGAGCCGCGGCGCGAGGCGGTGATGGAGGAGGTGTAGGCGAGCTTGGAGAGGTAGGCAGAGAGGGCGCGCGTGAAGGGGTTGCGCACAAACGTGAATCGGAACATGCCCGGGCGCAAGATCAGCCGCACCTGGTGGGCGAGAGGATGACAGGAGGAGAGGAGAGAAGGGGGTGTGTGTGAGGGAAGAAAGAAGGTCGGTGAGCATGGGAGGCAGTGATCATGGGAGGCAGTGATCATGGGAGGCAGTGATCATGGGAGGCAGTGATCATGGGAGGCAGTGATCATGGGAGGCAGTGATCATGGGAAGCAGTGAGCATGGGAGGCAGTGATCATGGGAGGCAGTGATCATGGGAGGCAGTGATCATGGGAGGAGGTGAGCAGATAGGAGGGGGAATGCAGGAGATATCGTGAGTGTGAATAGCACCATGCTATACTTTGCCATGGTAGGTATGCCGTGTTGTCCTTTGCACTGCCTTATCTCTATATCAGGTACGGTTCTATGGGACAGGACCTTCAGTCCTGCCACAGTCACCGCCTCTCATTCTGTGAAATTGGTAGACTACCGGTACAGAGTTGCCCTCTTCACCACGACCCATCATCCTTCACGCCCTCCCACACTCACCGCCTCCTTCTCTGTGAAGTTGGCTGACAGCCGGTGCAGCCCCGTCTCCCTTATCAGCGGCTCCTTGTCCGTGTAAGGCAGGCCGCTCTGCGCGCGAATCCACTGCAGCCACGTGGTGGAGGCCACCTCGGGAATACCGCAGTAGGCCATTCCCAGACGCTCTGCTCGCATGGGGGGCAGCACGAGAGGGGACGGCTTAGGGGAGAGAGGAGAAGGCGGAGGAAAGGCAGGAACAAGATAGAAGAACGAGGAGACGGAAGGGACATAGTGCGTGAAAGTGAGTCGCCAGCATGGCGTACCTTCGACGAAGGTGAATTTGGCCCACTTCTGCTGCGGAATGGGGAGCACCTCCTCCGACTCGCACACCGACCGCGCCACCTCAAACTCCGCCGACCGCGCCCTCCCTTGTGCTGTAACGAAACGCGCTTCTATCGAGGACGAGTTGATGGGGAGGAAGCCCTGAGCGCGGCTGAGGGTAAAGAGCTCAGACACCCGTAACTGATGGCACAGCAGAATCGGATCTCTCTCCGCTCTCGCAACCCTTGGCCCTTCAACTGGGCCGCCTCTGCCTTCCTCGTTCAACCGCCTCCCTCTTCCGCTTCCGCCTTCCGCACCCCCCTGCCCTTCCCCCTCTGCTCCCCTCATATGCTCAAACGCGCACTTTTTCCGCCGCTCCTCTCCCGCGCGGAGCAGCAGGGGCGCGCGCAGGGGGTCGAAATACGCGGTCACAGTGGCGGCGCGCGCGGGGGAGGGGGAGCCGAGGACGAAGCGCAGCGAGGGGTCTTTAAGAGACTCCATGGCGATGCGGCGCATGGCGCAGAGGGCGGCGGAGGCGTCTGATGTGGCGGCGGCGCAGCCGGAACAGCCGGGGGGAGCAAGGTCCTGCCGCACGAGGACGGGAGAAAAGCGGAGCATATGTGAGCTTCGGAAAAAGGAATGTAGGTCTGTTATTGACAATCCAAGAGATGCAAGCGCGTTCAAAGCTACAGAGCTGCGTTCTTCATCCTTCGGATTCCCTTTCCTCGTTTACACCCCTTCTTCCCTCCCTCCCTCCCTCTCCTACCCACGTCTCCCACCCCCACACACGTACAAAATCTCCTGTTTCCCTCTTCACCCTTTTTCTCCCCCCTTCACTCTCCTCCTCCCCCGCGCCCACACTCACGTCCAGGTGCACGGCTACAGTCGCCTCTACCGCCTCCAACTCCTCCTTCGCCACCAGTCTCGCCACGTCAGCGGACGGCTGTAGCGACGCCAAGCACAGATCCACCTCGCGCTCGTACTCGCACCGCGACACTGAAATCTCCGCTATCTCCTCCCCTGTCGCTGCCGCATCCACTGCCGTCTCTCCCGCTGCTGCTGCTCCTGAGCGCTCCTCGCCTGCCACCTTTACCCCAGCGCCTTCTGCTGGCATATAGAGCGCAAACGGAGCCGCCTCCGCTTGCTCGCTTCCGCCCTGCTGCTGTGGCTGCTGCTGCTGCTGCTGCTGCTGCTGTTCTGCGGATTCGCATGGAGAAAGGAACACCTGAAAAGGCAGAAAGAAGGAAGGGGCCACGGAGAACATGGCCTGAGTGCGAGTTGACTTTTGAGTCGACTCAAAAGTCAACTGGCCTGAGTGCTGTACAGTGGCTTTCGAATGGAGCACTTCACTGTAGCAGAAGATGAGGAGATTAACAAAAACAAGGGGAAAAGTGTTGACGCGTACAATTCACGTGTGACGCGTTCACTGTGCGACAGATACGAAACTTCAGTATTTTGCGACAGGCGTGCGACGGTCAGAATGGTTACCGTGCGACGGTTGGAGTTGAGCCCTTTCTTCACATCCTCGCTCGCGATGGCCGAGTCCTTGACGCGCAGGTACCGCCACCCGTTCCTGCTCATCTCTTCCGTACTTCTTACCCCGTCTGCGCTGTCCGCGGTACTGTACTCTTCGCTATGACGAGTCGAGAAGAGGTGGTGGAAGCGCACATGCGGCATGTGTGCGTCCGAGGGCCACAGCGCGACGGTCGGTGTTTGCGTGAGCGAGGCGAAGGCGTAAGCCGCGCACACTGAATACAGACGACTCGGGAGGTCGCCCTGCGATGAAAATGGGAACAAATGTTTAGACGAGCACGGCAGGAACAGCAAAATTGGAGAATCATGAACACGATTGCCAGCGAACTGAACGTCAAATCTCCTCACCCGCACTGCGCATCACTTGCTATGTGCTCTTGAAATCTCCCAACATTGGTTGTGAACGTTTTCCGTTATGGCGCAGGTTGTTACCATACAGCGCGTACCTCTGCGAGAACAATGGCGTCAGCGGGATTGCTCACGAGCAAGCTGCCGCCCTCCAAGCCGTCTCCGCTGTGCGCAGCCTCGTTAATCCTGATAATCTCCACCACTGGTTGCACCTGTTGAGCCGAGTCGCGCTGGGATCTCATAACGACCAAGGCAACTAAGATGACTAGAAGAATGAACGGGCTGCATCGAAACACTAAATCCATCAACTCGAAGAGAATCGAGCATTTCCGTTTCCCGGCCGTGCGGGGCATTGGAGTTGGCTTGAGAAGCCGCTGATGGCTACCGTGCTTCATCATTTTGAGTTCTTTCGTAAGGTCCTAGAATGAGCCCAGTGGGGCGAAGGGCACACGCGATTAGTTACTAGTTTCGGGCTACCTGTATCAAGTATATGTTTTGATGATGAGTACTACAGGCTGCCGATCGCGAATTCTGCGAGTTCTATGCATAAACCCCGACCAATGGCCGCCAAAGTCAAACGCATGTTGAAAGCCTAGATACTTTCAGCGGCCGCATATACTATTCTGTACATCGCCTGGTAGGCTACCAGCCTCACTAGCAACGGCTAAAAGGGTCTCGGGTTCCCCAGAGTCCCAGACACAACAACACCGACATGCTGGTTCAGCTTGCCCACTGATATGGCGGCACGACATCGAAGGCACAGGCAATCAAGGCGAGTGCCGATCGAAGCTGAGTTGATGAGACATGTTCTGTGCCTTCGAAGTCGCCCCAAGTGCACCTCAAATCTGTCAGTTGCTGCCCGCATAAATGTGGGAGGGAGGGGGATGTGCGGCGATTCTGTGATGATGATGGTGAAACTGTTTGGTCATGTTTGCCTTCCTGCCCGTCAAGTTCTGGGGAGTGGATGTTTCCGCCGTCCAAAATTTTGTCAGCAGTGACTGGCGAGCAGGGCGAAACCGCACTGTGAATATCTCGAAGCGCTTGCGGCATGGAAGCCTGACATGCATCGGTATTATTGTGCCGATACAGCATAACGTACAATGACGCACGATAGCTGTAAGGAGGTGGAAATTCTTACAGGTATCAGAGTAGGACTTAATTTTCTTGCAATTAGAAAATTTTAAGTTTACTGGAAGATATTGAATCGTAAAATGCAAAAGAATAATCACTTCTTAGTGAATATTATGCATCTCAATCTGATATATTATTTTTGATGTGCTGATGTATGACTACTGTGTGAGTCGTGAAGTGTACCGCATTGAACATGCTTTTCCCGAGGAACCCAAGAAACGATGCAAGCTCTCGCCACTTCCCCCATTGCACCTGCAAAGTACCCTCTGTTGGCCCACCCTTGTCAGTCACCAGGGTGAATCTCTTTTCCCCTTCATCCTAGAGTCTTTGCCCTGGCTGACTTTGGTGCGGACGCAAACTCACCAGGTTTGATATCGGATTCTGGATTTGTCTTTGGAAAGATTGTAATTAGCGACTCGCAACTCGTACGTCGTTAGCTTCGAGGCGCGATGCCTTTGTGGAGAGTAGAGTCCGTCCCAGATGAGATTGATGCGAGTGCCGATGCGTGTGACAGTCCTACCCGCAAAAGTCTCAAGCCAAGGACGCAGACCTCAAGCCCAATGAGAAGCCCAGCTTCTCAATACCATTCACCGTTCCTAGTTCCGACCGCTCCACCTATTGACGTCAATAAGAATACATCGTGGTTTTCGTATCCTGGAGTTTGGACGACATACTTAATCATTGTCGTACTAGTGTGGCTCTTAATCCTCATAATTTTTCAGTGTAGTGTGGCTTCCGCTTGCGCTGCTGTCAATATTATCCATTTCGTGGTAAGTGAGCGTGATATTTGTTGTAGGCGACGAAGTGTAGAGAGCTAGGTTTTCATGAATATTATTACCGTCGAATCTTTTGCGCCTTAAATGCTGTATCTTTGCATACTTATTACCGAAGAGTCGGATGTGCGTATTCCTGTGCAGGTGACCTTCTACCTTTTCCACTGGAAAAAAGGCTCGCCCTTCGCTGAAGACCAGGGATTGTACGATAAGCTCACTTGGTGGGAGCAGATTGATGGCCGCCGGCAGCTTACTCCCAACCGCAAGTTTTTGACCATGGTCCCTGTCCTATTGTAAGTGCCTTGGAGACGTCAAATTTCAGACTTCTGCTAATTCTGGTACGGTAACCTGCAAGGCTTTCATCCGTGTGTAAAACTCCATGTGGGCCCAATCGTTATATTTTTCACCCTTTTCAGATACCTGGTGACATCCTTTTACATGCGGCATGATCCTAACTCTGAGCTTTTCTTCGTCATCAACACAGTGCTTGTCTTTGCACTTGTCATTGCCAAGCTTCCAGCTCTTGACAAAGTCCGGATATTTGGGATCAACTTTGACTAGCCATCAGGCCAATGGTTTGTAGTACTTCAGTATCTGCTGTTCAGAGCCCGTTTCCTTGAATTTTTGATAGGTGGGCCATGGGCAGACCTTCACCAAGCCAGGTTCTTGTTTATTACTCAACCCCTGTCAGTTGCCATGCCATAACCTGTAGGCACCGTGATGTGCGTAGCTTGTTAAGGGATTGTAAGATTTCTTCTTGCAAATACGGTAAGGGTAGTCAGCTGTCTTGCAAATTCCTGATCCAGGTCCGGGATGAACGAGGAACTGAAGCCATGAGGAAAAAATTATGCAGACTTCACAGCTCCAATCGATCAAACTGCTTTCCAGCATATTTATGACATGATACGGTATGTCTGAATCAACTCATTGACACACTTCAGCTAACATCAAGCACCTCAACGCCCTGCCTTGCGCTCTTGAAGAGGTGCAATGGCTTCGTCTTGCGCACCCTTGTTTGCAAATGGACGTTCTCCTTGACAGTATCGATGGAGACTGCACTGATCTCAGTGTACCCTGTGATGCCCTTCAGCTTCAGACCCACAACACCTGCCATTTCCTTGGGAGTAATCCGGACCACAACCTTCTTCGCATACTTCAGAACTGTCCCGTCACTGAGCTTGATTTCCATTCCTCCTGTAAAATACACCTCCAGGACGCCCCCTGCTTCGGGTTTGCTGGAATCTGTAAGTTTTAGGACATACTTGACGTGGTTCTTTGGGAAAATTCCCACAGGGAACTCGTACTGCTCCAAGATCTCTGGAAGCGGCTTCTGCACTTTGCCTGGAATGGCACGAATGGCAGAGTGATACGTGTATGGCATGGGGAAAAAAAGGAATTATAGTAAACGAAGGTGGATGCAGAAGACAATTAGGGAAGGAAACGAACATAGCATCCATGATTGCGGGCACATGGACTTGGACGAGTAGAAAGGACGGGAACACTTTCCACCAAGTAATTTCACTGCAACTCGTACCCATAAGGCCTTCCCACCAGTTGCTGACAGCTTCTGTTGCATCATTCACCATCGACTGACACAGCGAGATTAGAAACACAGAGAGCACGGGTGTCATGAAGGCAATGCAGATATTTTGCATACAGAATGAACGAGGAGAACTAGTCAACAGGCTGGACATAAGGAAATGCAAAAGTCTATGAATCTGTGGTATTTCGAAAATAACATTACCCGGCACACTCACATTGACTGCTTCTCCAACGCCATTAACTTGCTTCTCAACAGCCTTTCCCGCAAAAAAATCCATGTCGGGACTATCCTGACTAGGGTTAGCGCGACCGAAACTAGCCACTCCCTGAGCTAGTTCAGCCTCAGATCAAAACCAGCACCCAAGAGTAGAGCAGCGTAAACTGCGCCAAGACGAATGAAACGGCTTGACAAAAGGTCGGTGCGGCGGAAGCAGCGTGAGAGAAAAGAGGCCAGATGCAAAGAGCAGAAATGCGTGGTGAGAAGAAACGAGTGGGATGGGATGGGAGGGAACGTTTGTGGCTGGTGATGGTGGGGAGAAAAGATTCGCTGAACTAAAAATTGGCATTGGCTGGGAGGTGGACGCAAAGGTTCTGGTGAATGGACGAGCAGCTGCGACAGTGGCTGCGAACATCAACACCGGTTCGGTTACCTGTTCTGAGAACGTTCGCCTCACATTGGCGAAAGTGTGCTGGTAACACACCAGATATTCAACCCTTTCCCCTTCCACCCCCCCTCCCAAACCTCCCTTACCACTTCCGCCTTTCCCCGAGCTGTTCTTGACGCTGACGCATCCTCGATGGGTATGCACGAAGTGGCGGCAGCAGCACACGCGTAAGTATGTAGCTTGGCTGAGAATTAACAATCGTCGCCTGGGGTTGTCTCGAAGTAGCACGGAAGTCAGGGTGCGGTCTGGCTTGGGGATTTTATTCTTGGTTATTCTCGGTTCCTCTCGGTTCCTTTCCGTTCTTTTGCTGCCATGGCCGACGACGAAGCTTCCTTTTTCGAAGCGATCAGCAGCTTAGGTCCGCTGAGCGAAGCGGAGCTGTCGATTCCCGCGCTCCACGCCGCTGAATCATCGCCCAACGAGTTCAAGATCGAAGAGATCGACGGCTTGCCGTGGCTCCCCCCACTCGAACCAGCTCCTGCCGCTCCTGCTTCCGAGTGTTCCCCAGAGCCTACCCAAGCGTGCGACCGGGAGCATGTCCGACACCATGAGCAGGATTACAGCCGAGAGCAGCATTCTCACTACCAGCGTACTGAATTTCTTGCAGGCAGTCCGGGAGACATCGAATTTTCTCAGGCGATCGACGGTCCCGTCGCGCGGTCTGCGCCGCGAGCCGTTCCACAGCAATTCGGCACGTCCGGATTCCGCCGAGGCTTCCTCCTTTCAGGCTCGGAACCTATTTCCGTAGGTTCGGTGGACCAGAAAATAGAGAGAGCTCAAGCGCAAGGGAGCGACAGACAAGAGGAGGAGGCGGAGGAGTGGAAGGAGTGGATCAGCCTGTCGACCGAAACACATTTTCAGCTGCAATTGTCCGAAGACCAAGACTGGTTCTCTGAGCGTGGGACCCAGGAAGCTTCTGGAATAACAGACACGAGCAGTTTCAGCGGAGTCATTGATAGCACAGCTTCACAGAGCAAGGGTGATTATAACGAGGTGCAGGAGGCAAAGAGTGCGTGCTTGGCGGTTGGAATGGAAGGCGAGGGTATCTGGTCTGATCCCCTGCCTGTGGAGGGAAGTGCATGGGAGGGTGGGCTCCGTTGGGGTGATTCGCATGCTGCAGTGGGGGATTCGCGGAGCAAACAGTGTGTTACAAACGCGGGTGATACTATCGAGGGTGATGCATGGACGTTTGACGATGCTGAAGGTGCGGGGTGTGATGACGAGGTGTTGGGGAGCTGGGTGGGTGAGATGGACGAGGGCGATGGGGAGGTGGCGGAGGAGAGAAGCGAGGAATGGGAAGGAGGGATGGGACTGGGGATGGGGATGGGTTTTGAAAGCACGTGGTCTCGTGGTGCGTCAGCGTTCCCCCCAGGAGCTGCTTCTGCTGAATTCGAGCCTGCTGAAACTGCTGAACCTGCTGGGCCGGCCAGTGACAGTGCTGCGTCCGTTGCCGGCATTGCAGCAAGGCAGTCAGCAGGCAGGACGAACAGCACTGCTGGTGGGGCGTTCGGCAGTGCGGCACCGCCTGCCGGTGGTGGTGATGCGGGTGGGGGGGCGTGCTGGAGTGCGGAGGAGGTGAAGCGGATTATGGCGTCTCTGGAGCAGCAGAGCCAGAGGGTGCTGCTGGCGCAGCAGAGGAAGCAGAGTAGAGAGAGGGGCCAGTTGGAGCAAGATGGCGTGGGGAGGTGGATGGGGATGGGTAACGGTGATGATGTGGGTGGTAGGGATGTGGTTGATGAGCTGGCGAAGGGTCATGCTGAGGTGGCGCGTGAGGTGGATGAGGTGGCGGATGCAGATGAGCGACTGAAGCAGATGGTAGCCATGGCTGCCAGACAGCTGGACAAGGGGCCCTTCACTCCTGCAACTGCTGTTTCTGCGACTACTGCTGCTGCTACTGTTGATGTGACTGCTCCTGATGCTGCTCCAACTCCTGCTGCTCTTGCTCTTGCTCTTGCGGATCCTTGCGGCATGACTGCTGCCACCACTGCTGCACCTACTCTGCCTGCCATTGCTCCTGCCGGAGAGCCCTCAGCCGATGTAATTTCAGATTCCGTTTCTCACACCAGCCCTTTTCACTCAAAAGGAAGTGACAATAGCGGGAGCCTGAGTGGACACCTAGGGGGCGAAGGTGTGGGAGGTTTAGGGCGGGAAGATGGGGGTGGGACGTTCTTTGATGAGGCGAAGGAGCTGGAGCGAGATCTGGTGGCGCGATGGGGTCGAGACGGGGATAGAGGTGCCTGCGATGAGGGCTCTGAGTGGACGCAAGAGGGCGTCAAGGGCGAGAGGAGAGATGAGGGACAGGGAGGGGCCAGGGACGATGGAGATAGTGCGAGGGGAGGAGGGGAGGAGGAAGGGAGGACGTTCTTTGATGAGGTGGCGGGGCTGCAGGAGGAACTAAAGGGGATGGAGGGGGTGCAGGGGTTGACGGGGTTGCAGGAGCTGCAGGGAGTGGCGGTGGAGGAGGGGTTTGTGTCAAGTGCACTTGAGGGATCAGAGCCGGGCAGAGCTACCAGCGCCATCACCTGCAGCACCTGCAGCGGTAGTATTGATACCACTGGCATCACCAGCAATGGCAGCAAGAGCACCCGCTCTGGCTTCTCGTTTGAAGGCGCGTGCTCCTTTTCCACAGGCTCCGGCGCTCGTGAGCGGCCTCAACCCGCACACGGGGGAAAGCATCCACACAAGCGGCCTCGCTCGTAGCCCGTGACCATGCCCAGCCGCCTGCAGTTCCACCTCTAGCGGCGCTTCCAGCACTGTGTGAAGCAGCACCAAGAGGAGCGCTGGAATGCGGTATGCAGAAGAAGAGTGGAGTGGCGGTGGGGCCTCAGGGAGTGGAGCAGGGGAGGGTGCATCGGGGGAAGGCACAGCTGGGCTCGCGTGGTGGTGCCAAAGGGAGGCTGAGAGGCAGGGGTTTCAAACGGGGATTTCTGCTGGGTGGGGAGGACAGGACAGGGAAGGAGAAGGGTAGTGGTGTGCTGGGTGAGAGTGTGGTGGAGGGAGCGTGGAAAGAAAAGGACGGTGGTCGTGCCAGCCCTGTTAGTGGGGGCAGTCCTGGTAGTATTGACAGCAACGTTGGTGGCGGTGGTGCTGCGGGTGCTGCTGCTGGTGTGGATGCACCTGTTGCATCGCCCTCGCATGCACCACAAGCCGCACACGCCACACCTGCTGCATCCCCCACGGACGAGGCGCAAGCAGTGTTCGCACGTGTGCACCCGCTCTGCGTGGCTGTGGTGGACGCGCAGGGGGACCACCAGCAGCTGCCACATGCCATACAGCGATTAGAAGAGGCGATTGGGCACAGGGACGTGCCTGTGGGGGGGCTTCAAGCATGCCTTGAGTGAGTGAAGTGTCATAGCTACTAAATTACCTACTAGCTCGTGGCGTTTATGAATTAAATGGTGTATTCACAGCCTCATGTACCATCCCATGTCGCATCTGTTTCCTTCCGTCCATGCCGTGCCAGCAAAGCACCCTTCAACCGCATCACGCCTTCCACTAACACCACGCCTCCCCTTCCTTCTTTCCTGGTTTCTTTCCCCCCCGCTTCTCTCCCTTCACGTCACCAGGTTTATCCTCTTCCCGCTCTTGCTCGTACTGTCTCCACCCACCCTAGCCTCCACTCCCTCCTCTTCCAAGCCGCCTGCATCAGCTGCGGCAGGCGAAGGCTGGGCCAGCAGCACAGAGAACGATCATGCGGCTGGAATCACGCCACGTGGCAGGCAGCGAGTGGTGGAGGCAGCCCTGAGCTGCATGCACGTGGCACTGACCCGCTGCGCCGTGCGATCGCACGACCAGGCTGCCTCCCTCCTCCGCTTCCTCGCCTCCGCCACCACCCCCATCTCCCAACCACCTCCCACCTCGAGCACTAGCTCAAGCGTCCCTGATCGCCCTGCTCTCAGCACATCATCAGGAGCAGTAATCCCATCACCGTCACACCCACCATCAGCATCGGCAGCGCTTGCAAGCATGTCGGGCATTGCACAGTCAGAGGAGGCTCGGCTGCTGGCAGTGCGCTGCCTCTCCGCCCTCCTCTCCCACCTCCCTCGCTGCTCGCCCTCCTCCTGCTGCTGCGCTGCTGCTACAAGCGGCCAAAGCACCAGTGCGAGCAGCAATAGCAGCAGCAAGAGCAGTGGTAGCGGTGCGAGCAGCAAGTGTGTGGCGGGTGTGCTGCAGGCGCAGGAGGCAGCACCGCTGCTGGGTCACCTGCTCTCCAACATGCTCGCAGTGAGTGCACCACGCGTGCTGCTCTCACGCTGTGTGACAATTGCTGCTTTCGTTAGTGGAGCTGCTCGTACCTCATCTAAGCAAGAACTCTGCTCTCTCCATTGATTGGAAACGCGGCTGCTTGTACCGCCTCCACCTGGCTGCCGGATCCAACAGCTCATGAGACCAGCGTGCCTGCTGATTGCGCAAGTCCCTTCTTCCCCCTCCCCACATGCCCGGCCACACAGGCAGCAGAGGCGGAGGCTTGGGTGGGCACGAGGGGCAGCCAGGTGGTTCGGGTGGAGGCACTGCGAGCCGTGCGCCTGCTGGTGGATGGGGTGAGCCGTGGAGCATTGCATTCCACTCGGCTGCATGCGTGCATGGTTGCATTGCGTGTGGCAGGGCTTGCACATGGTTCCTGTCTGTGCTACCAGCTACATCAATGCCAGCGTCTCCTGTCGCTTCCATGTTCCTGCGCCCCTCTTCTCCCACCCTCTCGCACACACACACACCTGACTTCTCACCCTTCTCTTATCTGCTGTTGTACTGCTCCCTGCCCTCGTCCGCACCCCATTCCGTTTGATACTGCACACGCATCACACTCGCAGGCGCACACGCCCGCCGCGCTCGCCTTCTTCCTCCCGGGGATCCTCAGTGGCCTCTCCCGCGCCGCCCTCGCCCCCTTCTCCCCACGCTCCAATGAGCCGCTCACACGTGGCGCCGCAGCGGACCCCTCCGCAGTGGCCGAGGCGCTGCTTGGCCTTTCACAGGCGCTAGTGCTGGTCATGGGGGATGCTTATGACGAGGATGGACATGACGAGGGTAAAGGGGAGGAGAATGAGCAAGGGAGTGAGAGATGGGAGACAGAGGAGGAGAGGGCTTTGAGCATGCTGCAGCAGATGGTGGGTCGCATGGAGGGGAGGAAGGGGGAGGGGAGGAAGGGAGGAGAAGGAGAGGAGGATTGGTTGGGAGAGCAGGGGGTGGGGTCAGAAGGGGAGCTGCAAGGAGAAAAGGCAAGCGGCACAGCAGGGACGGGGGAAGGCGCGGTGATACTGAGGGAAGTGAGTGTGAGAAGGCGGTGTGAAGAAGAGAGTAATACCCCACGGACACATGCAGGAACAGGTGTGGGGCGTGCGGGGGCAGGAGGTGCAGGGAAGGGTGGGAGGGGGAGGAGACGGCAGGGCAAGGGGGGCAGGAGGAGGGGCGGGGAGAGGGGTGATGGTGCTGCGGGTGGAGATGGACGAGGCGTGGCGCAGGGAGACAGGCGCCAAGGTGCTCGTGCTGCTGCACAAAGTGCTTCCCAAGGTGAGACCTGACGGTACACAATGCTGCACCTCTCCGCTCATGTATGAACTTTCACCTCGCCTCGCCTGCCTCCGCCAGCTGCCGGGGTGACTTGCAAGTCGACTCCACTCCACAGTCGCTGCACAGTGCTTCTGCTGCTCTCCGCTGCTCCCCTGCACCTGTGCTCACCTCACCTCACCTTCGTCCCCCTCCTCCCCCCAGATGCTGCACTTCCCCGCCCCCAAGGTCCGCTGTGCATTAGTAGATATGCTGGGAGAGCTGTTGCCTGCGCTGCCCCTGCTCCCTCTCAGCCTCGCGCCCCCTGCTGCTCGTGAGTCCCTCAGTTTTTGTCCGCTCTATCTGTCCATCCTGTCGCGGATTGGGAAGAACTCTGGTAAAGAGCATAAGCATCAGCATCAGCATCAGCATCAACATCAACATCAGCATCAGCATCAGCATCAGCATCAGCGCAAGCATCAGCATCAGCATCAGCGCATCAGTGCAAGCATCAGCGCATCAGTGCAAGCATCAGCATCAGTGCATCAGCATCAGCATCAGCATCAGCATCAGCATCAGCGCATCAGCATCAGCATCAGCGCATCAGTGCAAGCATCAGCATCAGCATCAGCATCAGTGCATCAGCATCAGCATCAGCATCAGCATCAGCACAGCACCAGCACCAGCACCAGCACCAGCATCAGCATCAGCACCAGCATCAGCACCAGCACAATGCACATGCATCATCTCGCACCCGTCGCTGCAGTCGGTTCTCCTCCTTGCGTTTAAGTGAGGAAGGAGAGAATTTCCAGCATATGCACCATTCTACCTGCATTTCCTCTTTTGAATAACCCCATGCAACCGCATTGTGCTCCTCAATCAATCGCGTGCAGGAGTGCGTCCTCCTCCTCGCCTCTGACCACTGGCCCTCCGTCGCGTCCTCTGCTCGCCGCCTCCTTGCCCGTGCTGTCATCACTGAGCACAAGCCAGCACCGCCATCATTACCACCAGTAGCAGCGGCTACTGGTGGGGCAGTGCCTCAGAAGTGTATAGGCACAAGGGTGCATCGAGGTGGCGAATGTAGCTCTGGCGGAGATGGTGGAGAGGTGCGTCTTGTTCCCTCGAGGAGGGTAATTGCTTTTCTGCACGAGAGCGTGCGTATTTGTTGCACACTTGCTCGCGCGCACGTGGAGGTGCGTGCGCCCACCTCTCTCTTTCTTGAGTGGCCTGACCACAAGCTGCACCTCCCCCTCTCCCTCCCTGCTGCCTGTCCCTGCCCGCCCCTGTCACAACAGGCACATGGCATCCCTCGCAACTCCCGCCCCCGCCCACCTCTCATTCCCGCCCTCCTCCCTGCCCCTCCACTCCCCGCTGCTTCCATCGCCCACCCTCTCCACCGTCTCCCCTGTCGCCTCCGCCTCGCACCTGCAAGCCACCACGGTCTCACTCCGAGTGCTCGCAGCGGGTGTCATCACAGCAGGGCGTCTGCCCACCGCGCAACACATCCTGGACCCGGTGAGCCTCTTGCATTGCATGCTCTCCCCGCCCATCACTCCACTCCACTTGTGACGCATCTCCCAAACATCGCCTGCTGTGTATGGCCCAAACACTCTCTCTCCACCGTATCACCCCTCTCCTGCACGCCCTCCCGTATCATCGTCCCATCCTCCCTTTTTATCCTTACTTGTCCCCTCCTCTCTCTCCCACCACGCCAGGCCTTCTCTGCGCGCCTCTCCACGGCCATCTCTCTGCATCTGCCCTTTGCACCCGGCAGCCCCCACACGCTCGAGTCCTCCCCTGCTCCTGCCCTCGCGCTTTCACCACTGCTGGGCTCAGCTGTTGCGTCAGGTGAATCCCCAGGTGTTATGCCAGCCAGCCCACGTGCTCCATCAGCACTGCGCTCTGCAGCCACAGGAGAGGAGAGCGAGGAGGAGCGATGGCGACGGTGGTTCTGGGTGGTATTGGATCAACACGACGGGCAGCACAACCTGAATGGATCATCTGATCTCAGAGGAGCGACAGAGCCCTCAGTGCGTGTGCTGCAAAGGGGCGCTAGCTGTAGATGCCACTGCCCCTCCGCTCTTCTGGTTCTGCCGCTTCCTGCGAGTGCTCGCCCGCCTTGCTGCTGCTGCTGATGCCCGTGATACTGCTGATACTGGTGCTGGTGGTGTTGCTGGTGCGCCGACGACGTGGCAACAGCCAATGGGGGCTCTTCCCGCCCTTTTCCAGCCACTCCTGGAAGGACTGCGTGAGGCTGTGGGGAGAATCGGGGACGAGAGGCGGAGGGAGAGGAGACGAGCCCGGGCCAAGAAGAAGGAAAGGGTGGACGTCGAGGGATGGGAAAAGGGGGTTGAAGGAAGGGGAGAGGGGACAGGCGGGCAGGAGGCAAGGGAAAGAGGAGGGGGGGGCGAAGGAAGGTGAAGGGGAGGAGGAAAGACGGGAAGTCGGATGGGGAGAAGCAGGGTGCGGAAAGGATGGAGGTAGAGGGAAGGAAGGAGGGAGAGCA